CATCTTATCCAGGAACTCAAGTTACCTGCTTTTGATCTTGCCATAAAAAAGGTATTAATTTACAGGTGCCAGTAAGAAAGAAGTGTAAGACAAGACATCATTTGGTAGCTATATCTGTAGCATGTGGGAACAAAACATAATATGACCAAAAAGAAACCACAACTTCTGCCAACTCCTACTGCTGCAAATGCTTCTCATGAAATTCAAACATAAGAAAAGACTAGTAGTATTTGCACTGCTGTACCTGACGGTTGACACCTTGTACCTCAAGTCCATAAACCTACTGGCCCAAAAATGTTGCTTAGTTGGGAGCTTTTAAACACAGATGCCAAACAGCAAAGGAAATGGAAGAAAACTTCAATTTTTTTTTCCAAGTGCAAATAAAATAAACTCACAATCTTTAAATTTCAAAAGAAACTAAGGATCCAAACAATTACGATCTATTACAAAGAATTATGCAACTCAAGGTCCCAAAGAAACAACATACAAATTAAATTCCCCTTTAGAAGTATATAGGTGATTAGACTGCTTTGAAATTACCTATCCTGACTGTTAATGCATAAGTGGTAATAGGCCTAAGAGAGAGATAAGGAACACAGTAGTCCTATCTTACTACTTGGATGCTTCCAGTGCTATCTTGCATTATTTTCACCTGTTTTACACCTAGGGAAGAACAACCAGTGCTGCATAAACAAGATGAAGCTACTGGCAGGAGAAAAATGCCACATAAAATCCTGAGGTTTTAGTGAATTAGAAGCGAAGATGAGCCTGAAGTGAGACTACTAAAGAGGAGGAAGAGGAGGAGAAAAATATATATATATATACACACACACACATACATACACACACACACACACACACTAGGACTTGCAAACAAGGGTGTCAAAAAAGAGGAAGAGAATCTTTCCCATTTTTTCAGTTCAGCTTGAATATAAAGTCCAGCTCTGACCATGACACAAGTATTTATAAACCTTGAATTTCCTGAAAAGCAAAATTCTTTGCATCTCTGGCAGCGCTGGCTAAAATTCATTTCAGGAAGCGTGTCTGGGAGTGCTGCTCTTCAGCACTCTGGCAGCATCTGCTAGGAAACAACCCAGTTCTCCCCTTCATTCACCAAGTTGTCACTTGCTGAGCCTGCTGTGTACCAACTTGCCCATCATTTTTCCCCATCATATATTTATTTTTTCTTTAATATTTGCAATGCTATCTCTTTGGCATAGGGACACTCATTACAACCCTCTACAAGGACATCTCAAGACCCAATGCCAAACAACAAACAGGAGCACAAAGGGGAAAGGGAAATCCAGACATTTCCAATTGAGTTTTTAGGTGAAAACTGAAGCTTTCAAGTCTTGGGTCTGCTTTGGATTTCGGCCTTTTCACTGCACTCAGAAAATTCTCTTCATATTTTCTTCTTACAAATAGAAAAGTGAACATGCTTTTCAAAGTTACAGGTGTTGATCTGCTAAGCGCCCCAAATTTGGGCATCCTAGATGGGTAAAAGTACATCAAGTAGCAGTGGGAAGCCCATTACTACTTATTATTTTGTATAAGAATGGACTGGATGAATGATTCAGAATATCCTGCTGCTTCCAGATTCTTTTCTAGACCAGAGCAACATATTATGTACTTCCTGCAGATGCTGGTAGGCAGTACAGATTAACCCAATAGCCAAACTACAGAACAAAAGGACAGTTATATACCAGAACCTAATAAATGGAGTATTCTCATGGTAACATCAAGCTACAATAACTTTAGAGCATATAGAACACCGCACCCTCAAGAGCTCCACATCTATTTTTAGAGCAGTAACACACTAATAGAAGAGAATAGCTATAGTGAACCAGAATTAGTTTGCCTTTTAAAGCAATAAAATAGGTTGCGTTCACCTTCCTCACAAGCAGAGATAAGAACCTAAGCATTAAGGTCCTCATGCTGGAAAACATGACTAGGCACGCTTGATTTCAACTACAAGAACCACGTACTGATTTAAGCATCACAAACATGGTTGAACAATCCTAAACAGGTATGTGCTTTAAAGACTAGGGATCAGGAAGGAACATGTTGCTCTAGGAAGAATATATTTTGTGAAAAAAACAGTATTTTTCCAAGCTGAAATATTGTTGCAGTGCACAGGTTGATACGTGGCATGTGGGGGAAAAATATCATGGACCTTTAACCAAGTCATTAATTGAGAAATCTGCAACTGAAGCACAGTTTGGAAAGTATTTTCAGCAGCACTGGATGTGCTACTACAAAGCCATCCAACCTGCATTGCACAGAAATTATGTTTATGTTTACAGGATTTTGCATTTTGTTTCCCTACTTGCATTTACCCAAAGGGGTGGCAGGCAAACTAATGTTATGGAGTACTGCAGTTCTTTAGTACCTCCAGAAGGACTAAAGCTCTATTTTGTTCTACTTTAGTAACACATTCCCCGACAAGCCAAATGCTTTAGAAATTATAATTCTGAGGAACAAGACAGAGCTAAGTTTATTTTTATGTTTATTCCTACCTGGAAGGAAGTTTGCTATAACCTTGGTGGAAAAGTAATGTGTCCTCCTCTGCCCCAGAAATCTAGAATAAACCTGATAGGAAGCCCAGCAAAATTCCCTTTGCAGAAGCCAGGAGGAGCTGTAAGCACATAGGTGGTTACTGACATGAAGCAATATCCATTAATTGCTTTGTCTCCAAGAATAAAGTGGTTTTGCTTTGGTTTTAACTGCACATTGATATGTAACCTGAAACAAGTTGTGTGTCAAGAAGGGAAAAGTTCGTAATGCATCAAGATTACATGCATAAACTCAAAGGCAGAAAAGAAAAAAAACATGGTTCTTAACACATTTCATGAGGGAAATTTATTAGCCCTGGACACCAATAGGAAGCCAATTCAGCATAAGTTTGCTTGCTGAAAACAATCTAGTTTAATGACAATGCTATCACTCTACCCTAGGGCTATGTAAATAAATTTTGCTGTCATATCTGCTCCTCTCCTATCAAATTCTCTTCCAAAAAAGCAGAACAAACAAAAAAAAGAGCTATATACGTACACACATACACACACATTCAATTTAAACCTGTCGAGCCATAAACATTCACCATTTACACTTAATACCTTCTGCTCTTGCTGTTCCCTTGATGTTTTATTTAACAACCCCATCAATCACAGAGCTGGTTTTCTACCAAGTCTTATCGAGGAAGGTACTGCAAGATATTTACCTAACAAACTAATAATTACTTAGTTGTCATGGTTTTACCAGGATATGAGTCACTTTGGTCTTTTAGAGACTACGTATTCCAAGGTACAAACAGCACACAGGACACACAAGTGTGTTTTTGCCTATGATATCATGACAGTCATGGTCTTTCCTCTTAAAAGGTCAAACAAAATGAAAGGAAGCATTAACAGTAAATCCTGAAATTGCAGGTCTGAAGTGTAATCCCTTTACATATGATCAACTGAAGGCAGCTGCCCTGTTTAGTTTCTCCTCCCTCAACCAGAAGAAATCCAAAAGCTTTAAGATCTTTACTTTTCTAGATTTCCCACATTGTGTTCTGAGTCACTGCTTATTAACATAAAAAAGTACTGTAAAAAGAAGTGTAAAACACATGCCTAGGATTTCATCCAAATCATAATTCGGATTTAGCAAGACACACAAGCCAAAAAATACTTAACTGACAAAACACCACTACTGATGCTTTCTATTTCACTTTCTACTTGGAAGGTTTCAGGGTTTCCAATTTAACCACAAAACTGAAGACCACCATTTTTAAATCATGTTCAACTTAATCCATAGAGCAAGAAAAGTTATTTTTTCCCTACGAATTCCACCTAGTAACAACAGAACACCACACACAAACAGCATCCCAAACCAGAAACGAGAGGCTATAGGCTAAGCAAAAGTGTCTAGTCTCTAATAACTTGAAAAATTTTAAGAAAATCTGATTAACACCCAGACTGATAGCAGAGGAAATTACGTAGAAAAAAATGCTACCAAAAAGCAAAAAAATTTTATCCAGCACATTTAGGTAGTCACGAGACACTAAGCAACCTCTGCCACTGCCTAAAGGCAAAAAGATGGAGACATCCTGGAGAGCTTTTTATAAACAAGAAGCAAAAATCTAAAGTTGGTCAGGAGACAGGAGCCTGATAAAACATTAGGGATTACTCCATTCCAAACACTAACAGCCTCATCTCCTCTGTCCTCTATATTAGAAACCAACATTAGCCGGCTCTAAAACAGGTGATATAAATAAAACAACCAGTAATACGGCTCCCAAACTGCTAACCAGAGAGAAAGATGCAATTAAATACAGATAAAAAAGGATCCAACAAGCTCCTGTAACTACACTCAAATGCAGGAGTTGCATCCAGAAACATCCATGTGTGTCAGAAGCCATAAAAGCAGGAGGAGAAAAATAAAGCTTAAAATACCAAATATACTAAGCATAAAATTGCAGTTTGCAAATATAGCCCACCACATCTTGGGAGAGCAAAAAATATCAAAGAGAAACCAAAGTCCTAGAGTACAAAGAGCTTTTCTGCTCTTGCTCAGAGCTAAAATGCTTGAGATTAGGTGAAGCCTTCCCACAGCAGAGACATTACCCAAGACAAATATTTTTATGTGCTACAGAAAACAGGAACATGAAAATAGAGAATCATTACCATTTTGCTCCAATACTAGCAAGTCCCTCTGGTCAGGCAACTTACAGCTGAGTAATTCTAGCAGGTGAGAAAATACCTTATATATTCCTTCCATGTATGATAAAACTGGAACACGAGCTCGCCTACATCTTTATCCATGACACCAAGTACACCTGAGCAGTGATAAAAGACTGATATATAGAGGTTTTTTGATTTGTCTTTGTAACAAAGTTTATAACCAAGACTTCCAGGAGCAAATACAAGAAAAGAACCAGAAAAAAAAAAATCTTTACTTGGACCACTTTACCTGTAATAAAAGCCCGTGAGAACCTGAAATCAGTAGATACCACGTACCTCAAGTAGATTTTCCAGCTCTCAGCAGTAGGAGCTCAGTACAGGATGAAGCATGAAGCCTAAAATGATCATTTAGAATTAATTAGGATATTGTCTTGATTAACATCAAAACAGACACATCTAAAAACTGAAGCACAAACAACTTAAGACTAAAACTGACATGGTTAAGACAAGATAATGTTCTAAAAAAAATGAAATGCAGGAAGTACCCTATTTTCAATGGCAAATTGTTTAGTTGCAAACCCTTAGGAAGGCCAAAAAAAAGCTGAAAAAAGTAGGAAGAATAAATTTGAAATGGAAATACCTTGCAGAAGAATTTGATGACAGTTCTATAGGTTTCATAAAAATAATATAAAAAAAGATTTTCAATATATTGAAGGAAGTAGGGAAAGTTTGAGGTGAACAATATAACTAAACCCACATATTTAATCACCTTACGATAGAGCGAACGTTGGAAAGCCTGAAGAGGGATTTAAAACATTAGCACCATCCAGATCTGGAATGAGAGTCAGTTTGTTTCCTGGGGGTTGTTAGGGGAAGTGTGTGCAAAGTGTGTGCGTGGGAGGAACTAGTGAAAAGCATTTCTTGCCTTGGGGAATGTGCATCACAGGACAGCCACGCTGCTTCTTAGCAGAAAGAGCAAACACGTACAGATATAGGTCAAAAAATGCACACAAGACTGGTTCACAAAGAGGGTTTTTTTTTTCCTTCCTAAAGGAAGTGATGGCAGCACATCAAACAAAGAACTTGCCGGAGTAATCGGCAGGCTAGTTATTTCTGCTCTCTTGCCTTTTCAACAAACAGGCACTATAGAGATTAAGGCAGTGCAAGCAGAAAGAGTGAGTTTAGGTACACATTGAGCACAGAGAAATCAATTTTTAAGAGCATTTCTCAACCTTTATTCACCTTAACTACCTAAGCTTTCCCACACACAAAAGCCACTGAAAGATTGCCAGAAGAGAATCTGATGAGGAAAAAAATGACAGAGAAGTGTTAAAAAAAGGCGGCAGCACAAAGATTTTAGAATAAACTGAACTTAAAACACAAATACCATTTTGTTTGTAAAAATTAGAGTAAATGGGAAAAAAGATAATCATGATATTTGCAATTTTAAGTGAAACATCCACAAAAGTTTAAGTGCCTAAACATATGCAAAGTGATGGGAGGTGTCTTCTGAGGTGTCTTCGCTTCCCCGGCACCTTTTATACACGCCTGTAGCATATGCGAAGATCGCTTTCCAGAACTTACTGCCTGGATTTTAATCTTTCCATACAAAACTGATGTGCCAATGCTAACAAACCAACTGTACAACTTCTGTCTGAGAAACACACTCACACACAGCCAGATCTGTCCTAACACAGTGCTGACCAGGTGCAGCACTGCACACTAAGTGATGACAGAAAGTGCTTACTGAACAACCAGACTGGTCTTCCATCCTCACTTGTCAATGCAAAAATTCTTTCTTTTTTTTATGTGCAAATCTTCAATTTGGACTCCTTGAGACACAGACTCTCACATGACAAGTATCCAAACCAACAAAAAATATCACTAACAGCTTGAACTACTTTAATAGTGGCTACTTTAAAATTTAACAGTGAGCTACTTGAACTGGGCTAATACTACCACAAAACCACTAATCTTAAAGTCAGCACTGAACCTGTTAAGTCAGCTGGCTGGCCTGGCACCTCTACCAAAACTCCTGCTCCACAGAACCATGTCTGCTCCAAGTATTTTTAGGAAATTAGTCATGACTCGGGGCAAGTCATGAAAACACCAGTGATTAAAACAATGGGAACGACATCAACGACATCATCCTTTACAAAAAGGGAAATCCCTCAAGAGACTGCTTTTCAAAAAAAAAAAAAATATATATACACACACACATGTACTGATTTGCTTGGAGAAATATTTTCTGATACTACAAAAGCTGCTTTTAATTCCCAAGACCAACAGTGAAGACTTTCTCCCACTCTAGAAAGCTATTACAATAGCACCCTGAAGCATGTTAAAACAATATTGCATGTGCTATTGCAGGAGTTATGTAATATCCAATGTGCACCAAGCATACTAGAAAAATATTGTTTTAATTGCTTGGGCATCAATAATGCAAACCCACTGATGCCACTTCATTTTCCACACAAGCTGCCTCACCGATTTTCAATAAAACTACCCATGTGTGTAAAGCTGGGCGGACAAACTCATGTTGCTGTGATCTGCTATTGGACTGCAGATCTGCAGAGTTGTTTGGGTTAAACAAGGTATCTTGCCTTCATTTCAACTTTTAAAAACTTATCTTCTGCAAAACGGTTCATTTGAAGCAAGAAGAAAAACATTTGTTTTGAAAGATGAAGATGGCAATCTCTATAGCTTATATATATATATAGAGAGAGAGAGAGAGAGAGAACTACTCTACCTTTCCTCTCAAGGGAAAAGTTTTAACAAACTGACAGCTTTTGGATGTTTAAATTTGGATGTTTTTGACATGCTTTTTCCGGTGTAAAACATCTCTTAAATTTTCTCCAACTGGCTGAAAAGATTCATTTTCTTCCAGTTTTATCTTGTTGCCTTATTTTCTTTTAAGCTTATATTTATCTGTTTCTCCCTGCCTTTCCACCTACAGTCATATTATCTCTCTCCTCTTAAAGTACCCATAATCCCACCAGTTCTATTTTATCATGCTTTTAGATCTAACCCTTAAAATACCCTGCTTAAATATATATATATACACACACGCACACATATAGGGAGAGATTTGTCTTCTAGTCACACTCTAGTCTAGCTTGGCCTCTACATCACATATACCCTTGAAGACATAACCCACTTGTTTCCATGTACAGAAGGAAAACCCCAAAGCCAGTTTAAGGCATAGACCCCAATCCTCAACTGATGCGACTGAAGAACTGTGATTCAGTTCTTGAAGAAACCTTGTCCTTTTACTTCTTTCTCATCAATTTATTAATCTGCTCTCACAAATTTATTTCTTCTCCCTCATTTCTATACAAAGGCTTCTCAAATCCTCCGAAGCTAAAAATGAACCAGTAACAGTCAATATTATTTGTGCCCTTTACCTCACCTTTTACCCTTGATCTGTGACAAGAAAGCAGAAAAATATTTTGGCGTGACAACATTTTTTTTTATAAGATAAATTAGCTAACAATCAGGTCTAGTCTCTGATGATGCCCCATTCACCATCATAAATCAGAGGAAAACTCCAAAAGATGATGCTACACACAGAAGGCTCACAAGAATTTTTCTAGTGCAAGGAAATACAAGCAATTTCTCAACATGAGTAACATTTTATGTGAGACACCACCATTAAAATTAGCTATAGTAGTTGTCATTATTATCACTGCTTATACAGTACATAGATTTTTATGCTCCCTCCTAAATTCTTGTGTAAGAACCCCTATAATGAGGATAAGATATTAGACCTCAGAGCAATGAGGTCTAGCTATGAGCTGACCTCAGCTAAATCCACTTGGCTTCTCTGCTCGCAGAGCAATGGGATAAACGAGCTCTGCCTGAAGCACTTGCAGCAATAAGCGACACCAAAAATAGAGACAACCCAGCCCTGAATGCAATCTACGGAAAAATCATCAATTGCCTTGAGGACAAGTCCTACAACACACAAGGCAGCCAAATTCTGAACTAACCCAAAAAGCACTATTTGCACTGACACAAAGCAGTGCTGCCCTGAAACCCTTAGTGGTTTGGGATGATTGGTGCACAAGGACTAGTTCAGTCTTAACATAGTCCATAAAGCAGAATCATCACTCCCAGACGTAGATAACTAGCATGCTGAAAAATAACCAACCACCTTGGCCACTCTCAATCTCACCTCCAGCAGCTCTGCACAAACATTTATCCACGTTGTTATAACCATTAAACAAGAGAGGAAGGTCAAGCTTCAACAAAATTTTGTCTCCATAGTATAGTATTAAAAACAATATAGCATAAACAGGGCTACATGCACTTTCTCCTCCTATTCATGAGAGCCATTGCATGTCAAAACCATACACAAATCCAGGCAAAGATTTAACACCAAAAGTGTCACTTCTTCATCTTGACTGCAACAACACATAAAATTGCTTTAAGAGAGCCTCCAAAACTATCCTATTTCAAGTGACAGATGCGCACTACGGACTTATGGTATATGCACACGGCCACTACACTGCCCCTCTCCTCACTTTCATTCCAAGTTTTGTTTCAATTCTTTCTCATGACTATTTTCATCTTGCCTTTTCAAAGCTGACCTCTAAGCAACTCTCAAAATCCTACCTTATTTTACTTTTTCTATCAATTTTAGAAGATTGTATCAATGTGATCGTGTTTAATCCACGGTTATTTTTGCCACCTACTTGTTGCACTCCTCACCCTTCTTCTATTTCCATTCTGTGATCTTTCACTTGCTGTAATAAGCAGCATTGTTACTCCTTCCTCTTGAGAACACTTCAGATTCATCAGAATTATTTTCAACAGAAGAGACTCTTATGAGCAAGATCTTCAAGGTAATGCCAATTTATTCAAAAAAAAAAATATACACACACACACAGATTACAGAAATGCAAAATCTGTTTCCTAGAAGAAAGGAAACCCCATTGTTCAATATTTTTCCTTCTACTATGAAAATGTAAGGGCTTTGTTTGCCTTTAAGGGAAGAAAAGGCTGCTTCAGTTGTAACATGAGGCCACTGATACGTACTCCTGTCTTATGAATTACCTCTGCTCTTCTGATGAAACCAGAGCAAGGCATAAAACTATCTGTTGAAAGAACTGAAACAGCGTGAGACGAGCGCTACTGCCATCACACAAAGAAAATCTCTCCCTTCAACCGAGACCAAACAAGCAGAGGCTTTGTAGTCTATGAAACAATTCAACTTTCACTTCATTTAAATCCCCATCTGAGAATTAATCTTCTGTGCTGCACGCCATCTTTTTCTAATTTGTCTAATCTCCTAAAGCACTCCACCTGGTTATTTATTAATTTCATGTACGTAACAAACTTCAGGGAACAAAGGAATAGTACCAGTACCTGAAGCCAAATGTAATTTAAAAAGCAA